GATCTGACCTCACACACTAACCTCGCGACAACTGCCACCTACAGTCAAGGCCGTAACCAGGGTTTGAAAATTAGTGAGGTCCGGGGTGTTGTGTAAAGAATTTTGCTATAATAATGGTTTGGCCATTGGAACCACATTTCCCAATGGACATTAAGCTGTGACCCTTTTTTTTTATGGAATTTGGCATATATATATATATATATATATACAGGGGTTAAATTTGGATTTAATTATGTGTGGGGTAGTCTCTCACTAGGGGGGTCCGAGGGTTTGCCCCCCCGGGATTTTTTTTGTGAAAAATAAACCAAAATGGCACTTTCTGGAGAGTTTTGTGCAAAGAAAAAGTAGGTCTAGCAAGTTCAACGCAATCTCACGACCAATTCGTCCGAATTTGACGAGTGATTAAAAGATGGCTAATTCGTACGAATTCGTACGACCTCATTCGTACGAATTTGTACGATTTGTCTAAACCCACGTGATGGGTAGGTTTAGGGGCGGGGTCAGGGTCATTCGTACGAATTCATACGAATTGGGCAACTCGTCAAATATGTACGTTTTAGCAAAAATCGTACTAATTCGTACGAGTGAGGTCGTACGAACTGTTACGAATTAGCCATCTTTTAATCACTCGTCAAATTCGGACGAAATTCACACAGATCAAACACAAATATGCTGACTGAATAGATTGCTAGTTGAGAAACACTGCTTTAATTAATGTTTTTATGATGGCTTTGTGAAAGGTTAACTAAACAGCATGAGCCGTCTTCCAGCTGGCCAGTAAGTTATTTGGCAAATTTCATTCTGTAGGCTAACATACAGATCTGTTTTATGCTATTGTTTTTGATAGTGTTATACATTTCTTACAGATAATCGATTGTCATTGCGTTTGTCTTACCGAATGTGGTAGCTTTATGCAATTACAGTTTGTCTATAAGCTTCTTTTTTTTTAAATGTATTAATGCCGACAGTTAAATGTTGCCAGATATTGCTACGAAAAACAAGCAAAACAAAATAATAATAATAATCCGAAATAAGTTCAAAGCTTGTGTTTTGGAAATAAGGTTAATATATCACTAAACCTTCCCACATTAATAACTTCCTAAAGTGTCACATTAAATCAGAAAAACAGGTGACTACTGCCACCTTTCTATTAGGTGGATCTGGCAACACGGAGGCTGCACCCGCGTTCACAACGCGCTCTCAAGCCCCGTTCAGTTCACTGCGCCAGCTTCTCGCAGCAACATGAATTGCAAACACTCATATGAGGTGGTTTAAACACTGCTAATTAATCATTCAGAGAGCTTGACATTTTATTTTTGAATGTAAAAAAAATGACCGAGGTCCGGACCTCGGTGACCTCATAGCTGGCTACGGCCATGCCTACAGTAACGTTACCTGTAGTTATCGCGAGGCTAGTGACAGAGCTCAGATTGGGAATGTTTTTTTTTTTTTTTACTCCGCCCGGGGTATTATTATTTTTTAATAACGCAGGTTAAAATACGGGAGATTTACGGGAAAATCCTAATACGGGAGGACGGCGGGAAAGAAGGGTAAAATACGGGACTTTCCCGGCCAAAACGGGATACTTGACAGGTATGTGTCAGTGGAGAAAATATGGAGCCATGTGACATGTGCACGTGTGCTGAAAGAGGGAACACAATGGACCCCTTGGGGCCATGTTACCACTCTTTTGCATTTTCATTGGTTAGTATTTGAGTTGTATTAGTTCAACTTTATTTGTCAATGCTTAGTTTTTATTTTAAAACAGCTAAAATAGACTATGTTGCCTGGAGGCAACACCGTACCATAGAGGGTTAAATGAATGTACACTCAAAGACGGACGCGCTCAGCGCTTTTCATATATCACAACTATTAAGTGCTTTTAACCACATGTTTATTTTAGGTTTCAGACATTTAAATAGATATGATTTATAGCAAAACAATAAATTTATAGTTTGTAAAATACACAATGGTGTCTATGGAAGCAGCAATAACAATCCATTCAAATATATTTGGCGACGTGTTTTATTCATATCAGATACACAGTGTAAGTAACTATAAAGTTTACTCTATTCTTCTCCCAGTTCACCGGCCACTTACTTTCATGTATTTCGGGAGAAACTGAAGAATTCACGCGCTGTAACTTAACAAATACAACAGGAATCTCCGAACTGCGGTGCCCATCTCACGTTACAGATCAAGATCATTTATAAAGGCTTTTAAACGACAAAACAAACTCACTTACACGGATTTGAGAGTCAGAATAGAAGATAGTTGATGACATGGTAAGCAAGTTTGTTAATATTTAGAAATAAAAGCGCTACATCTGTCATATAGCGCTATTTTGGCTGTGGTGAACACGTGCCAAGCATGACGCGTCACCATGGAAACTTGGCTGGCGTGCGGGCGGGGATCGCGAATTAGAAATAAAGGCCTGCCTCTAATAAAAGCCTGCTTCAAATAAAAGCCGGCTACCATCTGCAGTTCAGGTAAATAAAGGCCCCGGCCTTTATTTGAGGAATTACGGTAACTTAAAATCTCAGGTGATGCTTCAAGTAAATATATTAGTTCAAAGAGGTTCAGGTGACAAAAAAAAAAAAACATTGGGGGAATCACTGCATTGCATGTAAATATGAAATGACATGAATTTGTAAATTTTAATGTGTTTGCAAGACATAAGCCTTCCAGAGACAGTAATACATGGTTAAATGACTCACTGAGTGATCATTTAAATAATAATTAATGTGGTCGTCAGGAGCTGATTAGAAATGCAATGTTGAGAAAACACTTCTTAAAAGCGAAATGATTTGTGTAAATCCAGTGATTTCAGGCTCATGACTAGTGTCTGGTCTTTGTGTGCAATTCCACAAACCTGGAAGACCTTCTGAACTTAACCAAGTAGTATAAGAAAGGAACATTTAAAAGTAAAAGTAGGGAGAATCAATGAATTATGAATAATAATTAATTGTGAGAATAATATCAAGTAATCAATATAAAAGTAACTGTCTGATTACGAGTATTTTAAAACGTAATATATAATTACAAGTACTTACATTTTTGGAATCTGATTACGTAATACAGATTATAATCAGGAACTACCCAGCACTCGCCATCTTTGTATCCTTTGTGGTATCCAATGTTGCAAAATATATCAATACTGTAGTAAATATCAGCCAGCAGCAAGAATACATATCTGACTCAGAAGACCATGCTAGGAAAACACAGCTTCAAGTCATTGTGGTTAGTACAACAACTCCTTAAAGATACATTTAGTTCACCAACAGCATGGATAATTGCCCTGGAACAGCAGGGAATTAAGCCTTTATGTTTTTGTGTGTTATCAGTCCACATCCGTAAAAATAATCCTACTGGCAACTACTTTCACTTTATAATGCAGCTCCAGTCATGCACAGACAATAAAACTGCCCGTAAAATAACAAATAACCATATGTTGATTTTTATCCTTGTTGCCATAATGTGTCATTTTAACCCACACACAGCTGGAAAAAAAAAAACATCCAAATCTTTTCAGTTCATGCTAAGTTTACTTTAGCCTACTTTAGACTGGCTCCCTTGTGAATGATGAGACTGTTGGGACACCAATTAGGTGATAAACATCCATAATAACTATTTGGAGTCAAACAAACCAAGTTCAGCGATTCTCACAGGACTTGCGAATATCATTAGCGCCAGAGATAAAACATGTGGAGACTGGCCCGTAGAATCACATTAAAATTACACACACATGAATTAATATGTGTGTGGGGAGGGGGCGAGAGAGAGAGAGAGAGAGAGAGAGAGAGAGAGAGAGAGAGAGAGAGAGAGAGAGAGAGAGAGAGAGAGAGAGAGAGAGAGAGAGAGAGAGAGAGAGAGAGAGAGAGAGAGAGAGAGAGAGAGAGAGAGAGAGAGAGAGAGAGAGAGAGAGAGAATTACCTTTCTTATCTTCCGGGATGAATGCTCTTGCATAATGTCTGCTTTTATTTACCCCAAAATCCAAATCACCAATTGCTTGGTCTGAAATACATCTGATGTAAATAACAGAACAGAACTGGACTTTTTCATGGCTAAACGTTACTTGGCCGACGAACTATTTTTAAAACCAAATTTGATTGAAAACATATGTGCACTCCCTGTTTGTCTCTAACAAACACCTCTGTGTAAGAAATTCCACAGAGATTGAGCTACAGTCAACAAATTGTCGTAAACACTTTATGACTCATAAGAAGCGCATGCAAATATAAAAATCACAAAACATTTAAACAGCAACTGGGAACTAATAAGAAACAACAAAAAAAGAAGAGTTTAAGAGAGTCTAGTTTCTAAGAATTTGTTCTTCTACCGCTTACATTCATCTTTTACATGAAACCCAGCTTTTAATGGACTGGAAGTAGACCAAAACCTACAGGTGCAGACATTGTTTGTCATGGTTTCATTGATGCAATTTTAACAGTTGGGTGCAAATGATATTTTCAAAAAATCCCAAAATAGCCACACTCAAACAATCAAGTAGGCGACACACACCAGCCTTAATTTTCCATCGTCCTTCTATTTTGTCATTAGATGCACAAGTTAATAAAAATTGTACCAACCATTTTGCATTTGCATTCATCAACCATTGCTGTAAATAAAGGGAGAAACCTATTCAGACTCGGTTTCAAAAATAACAGCAGATGTTTTCGTTTTTTTAACATTAGTTTCTTTAATAATTCATTCCAGTACATGGTTTAGGAATTACATATTATCAATAAACGTGTACACTGAGTATTTTACTGGAGGAAAGAAACTAGGATGGCACTCACTACGACACAGATCAGACAAGATACAAAGACTCTCTGTAAGCTCACCGATCCCAAACATAGACACTTTCAGAAGAGAAAATCAGTCACGACTGTAACCAAAAGAAGATATTAAGAAAAGAAGAGATGTAAGGTATGAAAACATAATGAAACATATATATTTTATAATATATTTATATATATTGTAGCTTTTATTTAAAAAAAAAAAAGAAACTAAAAAAAGAAGTGAAAAGCAATTTTAAAAAAAAGAGTAATACTTTTTGAGATGTAATGAGGTTTTATTTCAGCTACTATCGTTACTGGGACTGCTGCCACTGCTAAGATCTGGCCGTTCTCTTTTGTGAATCTGCTCGTGTGCTTTGAGATGACCTGATTGGCTGAAATTCTTCCCGCAATGCTGGCAGGTGTACGGCCGTTCGCCCGAGTGAATTTGCTGGTGTGCTTTAAGATGTCCCAAGCGGCCAAAACTTTTGCCGCACTGGGTGCAGCCGAACGGCTTTTCCCCGGAGTGAATCTTCTCGTGTGTTTTGAGGACCCCTGAATTGCTGAAAGACTTGCCACACTGGGCGCAGCTGTACGGCTTCTCGCCCGTGTGGATTTGCTGGTGATTGCGGTAACTCGTCTCTTTAGTGAAGCTCTTGCCGCACAGCGAACAGCAGAAGGGCCGCTCTCCCGTGTGGCTCAACTGGTGGGCTTTGAGTTCCTTCGTTTGACTGAAGCACTTTCCGCACTCGGCGCAACTGAACGGCTTCTCGCCCGTGTGCAGCCGCTGGTGCGAGCGGAGGTCGTCCGCTTTGGTGAAACCCTTCGGGCAGTGTGCGCAGGTGTAAGGTTTTTGCCCCGTGTGGATGAGCTGGTGCCTTTTCAAGTTACCGGCCTGCCCGAAGCTCTTCCCACACTGGGAGCAAGTGTAAGGCCTCTCGCCGGTGTGGATGCGTTGGTGAGTCTTCAGGTTACCCAGGGTGCTGAAGCTCTTCCCGCACTGAGTGCAAGAGAACGGCTTCTCACCAGTGAGGTTGCGAGGTTTGCGTGGCCCGTGGCCTTTTGTGCTGGTTTGGTTGTGCGCAGCGGGCGCTTTGTTGGCCTGGACGGACGTCAGTTCGTAAAGGTTTCCAGAGGGGAAATCAGAGTCCATTTTCCCCATGCCGTCGATGACGGTCTCGGGCCGGAGCTTGTTGAGCTCGGTGCGCAGCTCCGCCATGTGGATGGACTCCAGGGTGTTCATCTCCGTCTTGATGTGGCTGGACATGAGGTTGGGTTCGTACTCGGTCTTGATGGCGCCGAGCTCGCTGGCGTAGTAGCTGTGCAGGTCCGAATGCTGCTCCGACTTGATGTACTCCAGGCTGTCCGAAACGTGGGTGATGTAGTCGAACACCAGGCTGGGTTCATAGTGTGACTTGTAGGAGTCCAGCTCCGTGCTGTGGAAGGAATGGAGGTCGCTGTGGTGCTCCGATTTGATGTAGTCGAGGCCGCTGATCTCCATCTTGATCTGCTCGGAGCCCAGCTCTGCCGTGCACAGGGGCTGAATCACCGAGAGGTCCACTGTGCTGATGGGGTCGAGGTCGGGCTCGCTTTTGATGCACGGCAGCATAGCCATGGGCTCCACGATCTCGGACGCCAGCGAGCTGAGCGTAGGCGTGCTACATTCTGACGAGAGCATGGTTAAGGTCGGCGTGGCGCACTCCGCTCGCAAAGAGTCAAGTGGCGGAGAGTCGCATTCCGACACCAAATTATTTAGTCCTAAACCGATGCATTCTGTCTCCAACTCAGCCATCCTGGTGGAAGCTAGTCCACCGCCTGACCGAAGCTTCCGTTATGAGTAATATACCTTACTTTCACAGAGATAAAAGCGGGATTCCTGAGCGGGGATTGTCACTGCTGCCAAGGGAACCTCTGAACTGGGTTAGGAACAACAGTGAGTCCCCTGGCTCCTGGATGAATAGGAAACAAACAAAGAAAAACATTCAATGTACAGCATTTAAACCGCAATTGAATGTCCCTTTATTAGTATAAAAATCGTAATAACTTCACAAAAGATTTTGCACAAAGGTACCAAAATGTCATTTTCTGTTGTTAAAGCACATTTGAGCCCATGTCAACATCAAATCATATTTTGGTGCTGTGTTCCACAGGAAAATTATGTACCAGTGCAATTACCAAAGACGGAGGAGAACCAACACACGCCTAGCAAAAGTTGGTGTTCTTTCAGTGGAATAGGTTTCCATTAAAGATTTAAATCCACGACTGTATTGATGTCTTTAAAATCGGACTTCTGACTTATTTTCATTGGCATTTGAATAACTGTCATTTTGGGCATTATGATTTAGAAAAGTTTTTTTTTTCTTTTCTGTACAGCACTTTGGCCTACCTTGGTAGTTTTGAATATGCTTTATAAATAAAGATTGAGGTAAGTTGAGACTTGGTGGACAATTTCATATTGTGATCTTTTTTATTTCCCAACAAACACATGAAGCTTTTATAGCACTATTAAAACATAATGAAGAGCAAAGGATGCACATTAGGTTTGTACTTGATGCTTTATCTATCTAATTATATGCAATGGAGAATGATGGGAAATAAGTTTCATCACAAACCTGGTAACTGACTAGCTTTATTGCAATTGATAAACAATGAACAAAATGTAATTGTTCATTGTACAATATAGTTGTTAATAACAACTATATTGTACAATGAACAATTGTAAAATTCACATCTTATGACTTCAAGCCATTTGCTTCTCTCATTATTGATTTGATTCGGTTATGATGTTCCGTTTTCCACTGGTCATTTTTATTTGGTGGCATTCATTTGTACTGAACAAACGAATGCAAATATTCTGTCACGACTTGAAAGCACCATGTGCAGGACTTTAGCTGTCAAAATTGTATATACACTAAGGGCAAAAGTTTCAAAAGTAATGCTAGATCAAACACCGATTCACATGATTTGATATTTTGCACATACTTCAATTCATTTCAAAATGGCTGTTTCTTGAATGCATGTGACAAACCTGTTTATGCAAAACTCAAAATTAGTTGACACCTTTTGTATATTTTTGCTCTGCACTTATAAATGCTTATAGCATCAGCTATGAATGAAAACATTAACCGCATCCATCTTCACATCAAGATGTCAAAGTCAATCTGACACATTGGAGAATCATTACAACCAGATGTTTACATCAGAATTTTTTATGAAATAGTAACACAAAATATAAATACCAAGCAAATTTGTGCGGGAACAAAACAAAAGAGGGAGATTCAAGCTTATAAGTGTATAATTACAACGTCGTCGCATCATTTGTGTAATTGTATGTGCCGACTGTCTAGAAGTAGCCTACACATTTTGGGCCGGCGAAAAATAGGAAGACAGAACAAAAAATAAAAAGATAAGAAAACTTTACGTAGATGTACTTTGTAAAAAGGCTCGTTGACTTTTACCGAGAATCACTAAGCAACTAGTCAAGGTAGCTTCGCTAGTTCGCCACGCATCATGCACTTTTCTGCTGCCTTTCTTGAATCTGGCGGCGTTTTTGCACACAATAAATCTTTTGCAATTTTTTTCCACCAAGAGAACCGTTTAATCCACGACGCCTGGTAACGGCGAACGTGTTATACAAGCACAGAACGGGTAGCGAATAGCGGGTATATCGGCATGCAGGGCGCGTTTCGGTGTTTCCAGCGGTGGTGATGAAGAACGTACAAAGACAGGAGGGTGAAAATGCCACAGCTTCAGCATGCGTGAGCCAGTGGCCATCTTGTTTGTAGCTGAACGTCGCTGCATCAGCCAACTGAACGATCCGCTGAGGGAAAGTTGAGCCAGCTGCAACTTTCGAACGCAAACGTCGATTCGTTCACCTTTGCATAACAATGCAAAACGCTCGCTGCGATAGAAGAGCGTATGTGGTGAGTTGCATGTGACTTGCGCGGTACATGCACACTCTCATCACTACCTATCAGAAGAGACAGGAGGAGGAAAAAAAGATGAAGACAGGAGAACGCGAATAAAACCGCTCGTGAGGACGCCTCGGCGATTTTTTTACCTGTTCATTGCTTTTTTTTCGGCCGTCAACGCGCCGAAGCGGAACCCACACCAAACCCCTGCCGGACCCGCCACGTCCACCTCGGCCCCAGCGTCCAGCAGCCTCCCTGTCGCACACACTCCTTCTTTCCCCCTCTCTCCTCCCTCTCATTGACTAATTCCGCTTCGTTTTCACTCCAGTTGTCGCTTTCCTCCGTTTCAGCCGTTGTACTTCCGTCGTAAAAATGTTAATGCGCGCGCAGCAGTACCGTTTTCTGAGCAGCTACTTTGTTTACTTCCGACAAATGCTCGTTTTCGTGCGTATTATCAAAGGACGCACGGTCGAGGGAAATGAAATGAACATCTGCACGTACTAAGCAAATAGTGTTTTGTGCAACCAGATGTGTTTTTCATACTCATGCTCATTTAGTGCTATCATCATGCATCATCTGAAGGAACACACATCAGCAGTTACTCCTCATGACAAAAGCTGAGTGCTAGAGAGGAGCATCACATGCTCGGACACTCCAGAGTTATGATGAAGTGGGTAGATATTGCATGGTTATCATCCAGCAATGATGTGTAAATTATGAGACCTGCATTCCATTGCAAATGGCAAGTGGGCCATTAGTAATAAATGAACATATTATTTGATATTCTTGTCTTGTATGCATAAAATGCCTATAATATAAATGCTTTCATGCACAAAATATAAATTGCTGTTACCTACAAAATATTAAGAGTAGCCTAAATGGTAAAAAAGAATCAAATAAAATGCATAAGAGGTATGTGTTGTGCTGTGGATGTTTTACAAAGCCAAAACAAATGGAAAATGCAATACCTAAAATATTGCATTTGCCAAACAAGGTTCTTAACCTGCAAAAAAGTGGGTAACAAATGTGAGAATATAAATGTAAGTATAATATGATGATTTCACTCTACCACTGAATGACTTCTGTACAAAAACTGATGTCATTCTCATTCAATTCAAGCTTTATCATTCACAAATGTGTGAAGAACTTTTATATATTCATGTTCTTTCTTGAAAAGAACAATTGGATATTTGTGTCACTTGCTCTAAGAAACAATGCTGTGACGGTGTACCTTGCAGTATGCAGCAAGTTCCACAACTGATATGAATCAAATTGCAAGCGTCACACATCTGTTACTGCTTAGTACATCACAATAGCATCAAACAGGAAGGCTTTTTCAAATTGCATTTAGCTGGAGGACTTTACTGTAGAATTTATTAGAAAGCTAAAAACACCCTTAGGGATATTTATTTGGTTGTATTTTGCCCATCTGTGGATCCAGGCTTGGGAAAAACATCCATCTCTCATGATCTCAGCTGTAGTCCATAGAGTTTAGAAACTCACCCAACTCAAAAATGCACTGTTATGTATGAAGGAAGCAGTTTTTATGGATGATACAATTCAAGACTCAGAATGAAAAATGACAAAGGATGTAATGGATGCAATTTTCCACCTTTTAATGTATTGCCATAATTCAAATGTACAACTACTTCAAGTCACATTAAAAGACATTTCAGTGATAGAAAAAACTTTTCTTTTTTTTTTTGTGGAAAAAGTAAATGCTGGTTACAACAGGCATTCTTAAGATGTAAACCAAATCAAAATCATTCAATCACAAATATACCCAACTTCCTTATAGTAACAATTTCTGATCATTGACCAAATTTTGTGCAACATTGAAATTAATTAGATATTAATTGATTTTCTGTGTATGTGGTTCATAATTACCTGGATCATAACAATGATGTTCTGTAAAATTACACTGTAAAAAAAAAAGTTGCATTACATTTTTTTAAGTACAATCAACTTGGATGTTTAAGTAATTTCAACTTAAATTACATTAAACTGACTTAAAAAATGAGTTGTCAAAAAACAATTTATTGATCATATAATTTTTTGCAGTGTAACAAATATGAATTAAGTAGAGTTTTCAATAACCCTAACACTTTTCCCCCAATTTAGAGAGGTTGTTTTAACAAAATTATTACTGAATGTAAACACAAAGGCGTTAATTAAAATTTAACGGAGCACTTGTAATTGTCTATTTTCACCATGCAACTATATGTGTAAAGGTCCTGAGGTAATAAACTGAGCAAACAAACAATTTCCATGCAAAGCTTTCAGACTACCAACAAAACTGAGGTATGGATGTGTGGAATAACAGTGCAAAATATATACCGGAGTAAAAAAATAAAGGAAAAGTAAATGGTACAAACGTAATCCTTGGCATTTATTGGTCAAATGCTGATCCTCTATAATCCATTCAGAGCTACTCAACACAACAGAAAACTACTAAACATGATCCATGGAAAAGAGTTGATCCAATTGGTCTGAAGAAGAGTTCTTTTCAATACAACGCAATACAGATTCTTAATAAAACAGATAAAAAAGGAGTCATCATGCAAAACATAAAACAAAACATCAAAATGCTCAAGTAGTTTGTAAGAATAATGCAGTTCTCTGGGAGAATGAATGACTGCAAAGCTCTTAGAACTCAATTTTCTGACTGTTTGGCATAAGGTTACCGTTGATTTTGCTTCATAAAAAAGGATACAAAAATGAACAGGTAAAAGCATTCTTACAGGATATCAATGCTGGTCAATAGAGTTATTATCATCATGATCAACTTATGGAAAGTCAGCGACTGCAGACACGCACACACAAACTATTTTAGGCACTACGTACATACTGCACATTTGCAATGTTTTTTTTTTACAAGAGACTGCATCACACATTTGCCATTACTAACAGAATAAACAGCTGCACCCCAAATATATTTTACATGCGCAGTTTCTTTAATTCATGTTGATAAATAGATGGGTGTACATGGGGCCATTTCACTGCATTCAATTAAATGCAAAATTCTAGTCCTTCAATATTCATTTAAATTGCTTATTGTAACCCAGAACAAATGGAAATATACCAATATCACCAGACCCTGTTCAGTCATTTGGATCAAACAACTATAATTCACCCAAAAACGTCAAATCTGTAATAATTTACTCACCCTCATGTTGTTCCAAACCTGTATGACTTACTTTCTTGTGTGGAACATTAAATATTTTGATTAATGTCTGAGTAATTTCATTTTTGGGTGAACTATCCCTTTCCAGTATTGTTCTCCTGCATCGATGGAACAAGCAACGTTTTTTTTAACAATCTTAATTACACAGAAGTCAGATCATCTGACTAGCAGTAACATGGATAAAGAGAACTACTACAATATCTATAGTTGACTGTTCAGATGAAAGCACTAAGCACGAGAAAGGAGGAGTTCTGGTAAGATCTTAGCAAAGGCATGGTGCTAAACAATGAATTAATTAGCTTATTGAAAACGGTTAAATCTAGGCACTAGCGACAGATGATGTTCTTCATTATAGTTTACTAATGAAGTTAAGTGTGCGTTCACACTTGTAGCTTGGTTCGGACGAAAAAAAAACACATTTAGTCCTGGTCCGCTTAGCGTTCACCTGGTCTCTTTGGTCCATGTTGCGTTCAAATTTCATTTGAACCGCACCAGAGTTCGTTTGGAAGCGGAGCGAGACCCATCTTTTCAGAGGTCTCGGTCTGTTTCTTTGAGGCACACCAGAGTTCAGATTGCAGCGTTCACACTTATTCAAATCAACTGCACTAACAGAGCAATCGCACCAGGGTTGGGTTTTCTTTCCGAACCAAACTTGCCAAGTGTAACACACATTAAGATACTTTATAAACTCGAAAATAAGCTTAGACCCTGTCCCATAAATGGAACCCTAAGCCCTTGCAATCTTCCTCCGAGTCACTTTTGTGACGTAATGTGGACTAAACTGACATGCGCACGCAGCAGCCATTGTAAGTTCACAAGAGCATATGAAGTGTGCCATTTGGGACAGGGCCTTAGGGTTCATTATATAACATGTAATGGCCCATAATGGAAAAAAAAAACTAAACAAATTACAATCTTTTAAGAGCATGTATGTTCAAATAAGGTTCCCTTCATTGTAATCTTTGGGTCGCAAGTTCTTGGTACCTTCCTACAGAGATATTAGGTAGCGTTAAACAAAAGAAGCCACATTTTTAAATGCACAATCAAATAATAAGTAGGCCAACAGCAAGTCCCGTTCCATTTGTAAACGTTTCTTTCGAACAGGACCTTAACTCCTGATATCGCAGAAGTCCCAAAGTATATGGTCCCATCGATGAGGTATTGATCCAAGAAGTAACAGTAACACCTTGTACTTTTTTCCCATCATGCTTATTACCAACAAAGATGATATTGTAAATCTTCAGGGAATGTGCGTAACAAGTAGGACTTCGCTGTTAGTGTTCCCTTCGATATAGGGCATAAATTGTAAGTGCAGGGTTCGTCTGCCTCTCTGAAAACTGTAGATAACAGCTTCCATAAGGAAGACTCCATATTTCGATGTATGCCACAGAACGCTGGGAAAACCAAATATCACAACCAGCAACTGAGCCTTTCTCAAAGTTCAAGATGTAGAGCCATGCAAACACTACAACGTAACCAGTACAGGAAGACGCTACTCTAGTTGAGGATACTGGGAAAGTCAGATCCGCTTATAGTCACTGAAACAAGAATATGAAGGGTTGGGAACTTCAAGTTTCTTTCCAATAACCATTTCAAAGCACTTTTCTTGTCCTAACACCAACTTCCTCCTTAGACTCCTTGCCTCTTGAAGACAGCTTCTTGGTTGTGCATGTCATGCAATGATGACAATTGTGCAACTTCAAGTCGAAAACTGTAAGCCATCCTCTATCCATGATGAAAGGTTAAAGAATTTTTTTTTAGAATCGGACATACAAGTCAAAACCTTAATTATATAAAAAAAAATCCAGTATGGCATCTGAACATAAGAGGTATTTCATGTTGAGTAATAAGTCAGTAAGGAAAAGATGGTCGATTTGATCGCAGGAGACGCATTACACTATCTCTTGTTCATTTTTACACATTTAAAAAGTTTGTAAAAAAAAAAAAAAACAAGACCACAATGCTGCAAGGGATCTAGCAACTGCTCTCCTTTCCTTTTCCATGATAGTTTCATGTAACGTATGAAATATTTACAAAGTTTTAAGATCTTTTAAAGGAGCTGTATGTAAGAAATTTATTTCAATTAATCATAAATTTCCCCTGATATGTCACTAGACATTAAGAAATCATGTTCATTTCAAATACTTATATCACTGACAACAGTAGTCCGGCCAGGATATTGTCATTTAAAAAGTGAATTTGCAGCCCTCAACTGATGTTGATGTTGTCATGTTGTGTTTTGGTCTGATGCTCCACCCTCCACCATCTACCAATCACGAAGTCAGTAGTGTTGCGGCATCCGGGTTGCCAGATCTGCTCTAGTTACCACAGCCACAGCTACAAACGTGTCGGAATCGGATCCTGCAGCATATTTGGCAACCTCGAGTCAGTAATTTGAAAGTGATTGCAGTACCTGTTTTGGCCACAATCTTACATACGGCTCCTTTAAAACTTGTATTATGAAAAGATTACACCAAATGGAAAAAGGAAATTCTTCAATCCTTATTGTTATGTCAATATAGCCCTACTCTGATATTTACACTGTGTAAACAGCTTGTTAATGGTATTTGTTTCTTCCAATTTTCCCCAAAATTAGGGAACCAAAACGAAGGGGGAAAAAACAAACATTTTAAATCATGTCAGATGACAAATCCATTTATGTCCGAGTACCTTTCAACTAGCAAAACAGGCTACGAGTTTTTTGGACTTCCTTCAGTACTTGAAACTAGGGATGCTCCGATAGATCGGCCGCAGATCCGATCTCACAAACCGATCCCAATTTGATGGCGTAAAGCACGCGATGACGTCAAACTTTAGCGCCGCAGTCACCTGCAGTCCTGTTCTAAAGAAATATCACGTGTAGGAACATTGGCTAAAGGGTTTAACAGACCGTATTCAGAGCAGACATGACAGGTATGAAAGTGAGGCTGTGAGGGATAGACTTACCGTGGTTTCAACGGCGTCCGCTGTAAAAAGCCCCTAGATCACTTATAATGTTCCACTGCTCATATTAGCGGGAGTTGTTTGTCTATTAATTTCTCAGAAAGATATTTTGGTAACACTTTACTTGAAGGGGTGTGCATAAGACTAACATGACACCTTCATAATCATGACATGACACATGTTATGAATATGAAGGAAGTTGTATGCATGTTTATGACAACTGTCATTAAGTGTCATTCGCTCAATAATGACATTTTTAATGCAAATATGGCATTGTTTGAGATGTCTTTGTTATGACACCTTGACATAAACCAATACATCATAACCTGTCAGTGTCTTTGTCATGACAACTTGACATTACTAAGACAACACAACCTGTCATAAATATGTCATAAACATGAAATAACAGATCAATTATCAAACTTAAGAAACCACTTAGCTTTACTGGTTAACATTACATTAAACTGTCAGTTGGTTGGTTTTGACATTGGCTGTCATGAAGCCATTATAACTTTTTAATGACAAATTCAATTTGTACCACTGTAGTTGAGGTCACGAAAAATATTCATGACAGTTATAATGGCCTCATGACAGCCAGTGTCAAAACCAACCACATTACAGTTTAATTTAATTTAATGTCAAGTTGTCATGACAAAGACACTAGGTTATGATGTTATGGTTTATGTCAAGATGTCATAACAAAGACATCTTAAACAATGTCATTTTTGCATTCAAAATGTCCTTATTGAGCGAAAGACACTTAATGACAGTTGTCATAAACATGCATAAACCCTACTTCATATTCATGACATATGTCATGTCATGGTTATGAAGGTGTCATGTCAGTCTTATGCACACCCCTTCAAGTAAAGTATTACCGATATTTTTGCAGTTTTTCGTCAGTAGAACAATTCAAAAACAAAAATAAATAGTAGTACAACCCACTGAAGAGATGTATGTCTATCCCTCACAGCCTGGCTTTCATTCATAAAAATCCAAGATGATGCTGCTGTGAATAAGGTCTATAACGAACCTGATTCGCTGCCTCTGTCGTCGGCTCTCGGTGTCTGAGGCAGATCCTCCACACACACACACACACACACAGAAAAGACAGCGACAGGAAAACTGAGGATTTGTCCTTCTTCGGGTCAAATAATATATTCTTGAAAAAATCAGTTTGCCATCAGTTGCCAGAAGATGAAAGCGATATCTTTGTCGTAGTATCCTTTCAACTTTTTAAGGGGATTTCCCATGACTGGCGTCAGCTCTGTTCAATGCACTGAATTAACGCCACTGAAGAGAAACTTCAGCTTCAGAGTGACCCAGGTGAATCGTTGCTAATCGATTAAGCTTTGTAAAGTGGCGCTCAAAGTTAAAATAATTACAACATCTTGTGGAGCAACAATGTAACTGCACTGACCGACAGCCTGCAATTATGTTCAGTTATAAAAGTCTTGTAGGCTCTTTATTAAGCCAAAGTATCTTAATATGGATGGTGTTTTGAGTAAGATGTTTTTAAAATGGCCTATCAAAATGTTCAAATCAATATTTGTTGTGCTTATTTATTTGATTCTCAATTAAATCAATTACTATAAATAATATAACCAAGGCAACATCTGTGGTATTACTTTATCTGAAAAAAAAAAAAGTTAACAATGACAGTCAACAGAGAGCGTACATATCACTTCTATAAAGCTTAAATGATCAGGATCTGCTGATAATGATATCAATCGGTAGTCGGTATCGGCTGCAAAAAATCCTGATCGGAGCATCCCTACTTGAAATGAATTTGCAAGTCTGACTCTGAAAAGCAACAAACATTTGAAAACATCCCTTTCCATTTGCTAAATTTCCCCTGAATTTGCTCCATCTACACGCTCTCATATTGTTTTGTCCGTGTGCGTCCGTAAGTGAGCCTGAAGCCTTGAAGACTGGGAGAAACTCTTCCCACATTCTGGGCATTGGTTGAGCGCCTCCTCGTGCGTTTGCCGGTGAGCTCTGAGAAGATGCGGTCGGCTGAACTTTCTGCCACACTCTTTGCAAGCATGGGATTTCCTCCTACCTTTGGGCTTGGAGGACTCGCACCTGCCCATCGTCTCGTCGTCATCTTCGTCGTCCACCTCATTTTCATCCTCCACTTTTTCTTTTTTCTTATTCGCCTGGTTACTCTTTGAACCTTTGCCGACTTGCGAATCAGCTGGGTCCACGGACACTTCTTGACTGGGAACAGCATCCATGGACTCTTCGTCATCCTCGAGCAGCTGGGATGGAAGCGTCAGGAGTCTTTGCAACATAGACGGGGATCTGATTTGAGAGTTGTCGCCTGAGAGAAAAAGAGAGCGACTTGAAACATGGAACAGGAATAAAAATGGCACCCACTCCCTTGCCATTTTTATTTTTGTAATGCTATGCTTTTCTCCTGTTTAAAGTAGAGAGGGAGTCAGGGAACCATTTTGTTGTTTCTTTCCTTTTTCTTTCCTTAAAGGGTTAGTTCACCCAAAAAGGAAAATTCTGTCAGTAATTACTCGCCCTCATGTTGTTCCAACCCCGTAAGACCTTTGTTCATCTTCGGAACACGAATTAAGATATTTTTGATGAAATCTGAGAGCTGGATCACTCCTCCATACTAGTCCATAGGCTTCTTCAGGGATTGAACTTGCCGGCCTCGAAAAGTTATTAAAGCCATCGTTAAAATAGTCCAAGTGACTACAGTGGCTCAATCTTAAGTTTATCAAGCGACGAGAATACTTTTTGTGCGCAAAAAAACAACAAAATTAACGACTTTATTTCAACTATTCATTTCCTTCTCTGTGGGGCTCGAGTCAGTTAACTAGTGTAACAGCGTAAGCTTCTGTTGTTGTACGTCACACGCATCACGCACATGACCAGCGTCGGCCAATAGTGAGCCTACGTGTGTCGTAGCTCTACGGAATCACACTACGTTAACTGACTAGAGGCCCAAAGAGAAGGAAATGAATAGTTGAAATAAAGTCGTCTCGTCGCTTGATAAACTTAAGATTGAGCCACTGTAGTCACTTGGACTATTTTAACGATGTCTTTAATAACTTTTCGAGGCCGGCAAGTTCAATCCCTGAAGAAGCCTATATGGAGGAGTGATCCAGCTCTCAGATTTAATCAAAAATATCTTAATTCGTGTTCCGAAGATGAACGAAGGTCTTACGGGGTTGGAACAACATGAGGGTGAGTAATTACTGACAGAATTTTCATTTTTGGGTGAACTAACCCTTTAAGGTAAGTGTAGATTGGGTCCCTATAGTTGGAGGGTTTTTTTGGCTTTCCCCACTCCTGAAGTTATTTAACACTTCCTATACTTGTGTTACACCAATAAACCTTGTTGTACCACATTTCTGTTGTTTTTGGTAGCTTTTGGAGCCAAACTTGTTGTATGTTAATTAGTGCTGGGCCGTTATCGGCGTTAACGTGCTGCGTTAACGTGAGACTCTTATCGGGCGATAAAAAAAAAATCGCCGTTAATCAAAGTTGGGTTGGGATCATAAATAGCTTTTTTGAATATCGTTATATTTTCGCGCAATTCTAATGTGTAGTATGACGCCGCGCCTACTGTCACAGATCGCGCAGTAGGGTATTTTCCTGTCAGGGACACAAGGAGTACTTTTACTTACGTTGGGCGACGTTCCTCTCGTTACTTTATTTTAATGCAATACGTTGTTAAATGAGTTTATTCCAAGCGCGCTGTGTCCTTTGCATGGGCATGAGCGATGCTCATTTACAAATGAATCACTCTTTTGAGTCGATTCTGTTCAAAGACTTCAAACAAGTTGTCAGATGATCTGTCTAAATCGGTTCGCGAATCAGTTGATCTGTTCAGTTCCTCGCGCACTGAATCGTCTGAAGCGCTTTAAATTCACACTCGGAGTCGAAACAGGAAGATTTAAGAGCATCAAGAGCGTTGGATGAAGTGGCCGATCTACTGTCTAGTCTAGTGAATGAAAATCTGCAAATGCATCATATTTTTGCCAGCGATGAAGATCTTTATTAGTTGAACATCTTCGTAAGCTGTCTGTGAATGAATGATTCCACAGGACGATACATTCGATTTCATTTCATTCAGGTAATACATTGTGTGTGTATTGCGCGTGTATTGCGCAGTGGCATAATCACACGAATAGTTTACATTGATTGAAACTAATTTGTTTAAAAATGAGGCTATTGCAGTAACAAGGCAGGTTCACATAAAATTCTTATGACATATGATGACATTATTTTTTGATCTAACGAGCATTGGCGATGCAAAAACGGACTGTCGTGCGTATTGTTTTTTTCTTCTTCCAATTAGCCTACCATGTTAAAAAAAGGGACGAAAACATGTTACTTGTTCAATTAATAAACAGTTTGTTTGATGACAAATCGCTAAAGATGAAATTGGCCTCCCTTTCTGTCATTGCGGGTTTTTTTTTTACGATATTCGACTTTTGCTCCTCGATTGTCGAATGGCATTTTTGGCAGAAATGCACATCCCTACGCGAGGCAAACTATTCTCAAAGACTTACTTTTAGTCATTATTTGGGTAGCACACATATTCTGAATGCCTTCGGGAGAATTCAAATGAGCCATTTTAATCTAGATTAATCTAGATTAATTTCAATATTAATCTAGATTAAAAAAAAATTATCTATGCCCACCTCTAATGTTAATACTTTAGTTATTATTATCTTTAATGTTGCTTCCCCTATTCTAGTCTGGGTGGAACGTAACAGTCTGCTTTTAAATTATAACCGCACTAGATCATCAGCACAGCGCCGCCTACCTGTGGAGCTGACAACAGGAACGCCTTGTGTGTTTGAGGATAGAGAAACGACCTCCATATCGTCTACCTGCAACCAGGGCGGCTGCCCCACCTCAAGCTCCAGTTTCCTTTGAGTGGCCAAGCAAGACGGCATGAGCGTCTCTCTGATTAGGCTGTCCATGTTAGTTACCGAGCCCGAGCTCAGCTCGGTGCGCTCCTCCATACTGGTGGTGACCTCTTTGATTTGCCAGAAGTCACTGCACCACTTCTGCCCAAAGACTTTGTCCAGGATGGGCACCCAGTCTTGAGCCACTGTAATGACAGTCTGCTTGTCTGGTTCTGTTGAGGGAAAAAAAATTAATTAATTAAGGAGGAAATGAAGAACAATGACTTACTTTTAAGCTTAATTTACTCCATTTAAAAACAAGCTCATAATTAGGGTTATACACTGGCTCAAATGAACTTTGCATGCTGATTTAGCAAACAAGGATCCAGAGGAGTTTAGTTGCATTTCATTTGTAAATAATGTAGAAATCGCTTTTAAATACCTGGGACATTTCGCAAAGTGATTTTAAAAAGCAACAACTTAGAATTACAAGTTAGAATTAAATTGTTAGAGTAACCGAAAAACAAAATCATGTTTCAGCACAAGCAATTGGGTCTGGGGCGGTTTACACCTGGCCACTTCATGCGTTTTCTGTGATCGGATCAGTGCTGTTGCTACTCTCTCCTATTGCGGTCTTTGATTTTGAAATGAGCTGATGATCAATAAAATGCAGCTTGTATCTGTTGCTTTCGGTGACGTGAACTCCATTAAATCTGCATATAGCGCGGGAAATAAAGATCTCTGTAAATGGAATTGTTTTGATAAATCAGTTAGCTATCTGATCAGTAAAAACGCATGAAGTGACCAGGTGTAAACAGGCCCTTATTCACTAATTACCTGCAATACAGGCAATATCTGTCTGAAGATGTATAAAGTGAGCAATCTTGGGACGAATTGTTGGCCAGGTCTGCTTTGTTTTTACATAAGAGCTTAAAAATAGAATTCAAAATGAAACCCAAAGAACAGATGGCAAAACAAAGTATTTTTGTTTCTGGTCTGTCCACTGTTGAACAACTGAGGCGTGCCAAAATAATGTGTTAATAACAGGGGAAATTCAGTTTTGGTGTGTTGCTGTTTTTGAACTTAAGAGACGTTTATGTGCATTTTTCTATTGATCGTGGGAGCTAGAATTCGTCAAATCACAAGAAAATGATGCCAAAACAGCTGCATATCCAGCCTGATATCCATTCACAATGTAGGAACACTGTTACATTGACATTCAGTTACAGTAAAGTATTACTGTCAGGGAAGTCGGCTGAATCCTCCGCAACTTAGCTCTCAGAACTGATCTGAAGGACAGTTCAACTGCACCAAACAAATTGCATTTCTACAGTTACCTGGTTTTCATAATTCTTTTAGTGAACCGTGTGCTAAAACAACGCAGAACTCGCATGCAAATAAACAATGTTATCAGCAGGCACAATTCATTTGGATTAAATTCTTCCCACATTGTTCTAAACAAAAACGAAGCAATTCAATCCAACTTTACACTTCTGTATGTTAAAAAAAAACACTTTTAATTAGCAAGCATGCTTTAAATTGACACTAAAGACATTTATAATGTCCATGTCATACAAATGATGTCTTTTTGAACTTTGTACCATTGGTGGGCTCAGTTTGATCCTTTTCCCACCCTTTTTTGGGTGATTGGTCCTGAAGGCCTTTCGACTCTTGCTTTTCTACTTTGGAACTGCTTGGAGAGGCGGAGTCATTTTCAAAGTCTTCCAGTACCACAGCAACCACGTCACTGGTTGCCACCATGTTCTTTTCCTGTAGCTGGTCTTTCAGTATCTGGTTTTCCCGCTCCTTCTTGGTGAACTCCAAGAGCAGGTCGTCAAAGCTGTCTTCCACAATTTTGGTCAGCTCACAAACGGCAAATTCCAGCACTCTTTCCATAACAGATTTTAACTGACCTTAAAAATGGAGACAAAATGGGGGACATCATGATATATTTACTTAGAAAAAATCTATACGGTGAGGTTCTTATGACACAAGCAGGTAGTTACTGCGAATAAACCCTCCAATCTCTCTCTGCACCATCCACACACCGCAGCGAACTGCACCAAATAAGACCGCTGGCTGACATTTATGAGAATCACACCAATTTGCTTCCCTCCTTACTCTCAGCAAGCAAAAGTTCAGATTTAAAGCCTCACATTACACTGTCAAGATTTTAAAGCAATCTAAGAAGAATGTCACTACCAAAGGGTTTCTCTCAATGGAGATGGAGAGATGGAGCAGGGTTATTTCTGTATATAATTGAGTGGTATATAATAACATACGGCATAACAACGGCAGTTTGGGGGCCTGCAAACGCAAACCTTTGAAAACGGGTTTCAAAATGCACGTTTCTTAAAATGATAACGCTATTGAATTTGAGGAAACGGTGACGTCATGTGCATGCATATTACGTGTTCAGTCTATAGGCACGTAGTGTTTCTTTACAAAGAGACATCACCAACTACTAAACACTTTGTGTAACTGTACCCAAATCCTTCAGTACTGCAGTGCAGGGTAGATGTTAATTGTATGAGATAATTATCAGGTAGTCTAATCGAAACTTCAGCAACATACAGGTCCTTCTCAAAAAATTAGCATATTGTGATAAAGTTCATTATTTTCCATAATGTAATGATAAAAATTAAACTTTCATATATTTTAGATTCATTGCACACCAACTGAAATATTTCAGGTCTTTTATTGTTTTAATACTGATGATTTTGGCATACAGCTCATGAAAACCCAAAATTCCTGTCTCAAAAAATTAGCATATTTTATCCGACCAATAAAAGAAGTGTTTTTAATACAAAAAAAAAGTCAACCTTCAAATAATTATGTTCAGTTATGCACTCAATAGTCAATACTTGGTCGGGAATCCTTTTGCAGAAATGACTGCTTCAATGCGGCGTGGCATGGAGGCAATCAGCCTGTGGCACTGCTGAGGTGTTATGGAGGCCCAGGATGCTTCGATAGCTGCCTTAAGCTCATCCAGAGTGTTGGGTCTTGCGTCTCTCAACTTTCTCTTCACAATATCCCACAGGTTCAGGTCAGGAGAGTTGGCAGGCCAATTGAGCACAGTAATACCATGGTCAGTAAACCATTTACCAGTGGTTTTGGCACTGTGAGCAGGTGCCAGGTCGTGCTGAAAAATGAAATCTTCATCTCCATAAAGCTTTTCAGCAGATGGAAGCATGAAGTGCTCCAAAATCTCCTGTGATCCTCTTCTCGTTGTGCAGCGTTTTTTGCCACACTTTTTCATTCCCACAGACTTCCCACTGAGGTGCCTTGATACAGCACTCTGGGAACAGCCTATTTGTTCAGAAATTTCTTTCTGTCTTACCCTCTTGCTTGAGGGTGTCAATGATGGCCTTCTGGACAGCAGTCAGGTCGGCAGTCTTACCCATGATTGCGGTTTTGAGTAATGAAACAGGCTGGGAGTTTTTAAAAGCCTCAGGAATCTTTTGCAGGTGTTTAGAGTTAATTAGTTGATTCAGATGATTAGGTTAATAGCTTGTTTAGAGACCCTTTTCATGATATGCTAATTTTTTGAGACAGGAATTTTGGGTTTTCATGAGCTGTATGCCAAAATCATCAGTATTAAAACAATAAAAGACCTGAAATATTTCAGTTGGTGTGCACTGAATCTAAAATATATGAAAGTTTAATTTTTATCATTACATTATGGAAAATAATGAACTTTATCACAATATGCTAATTTTTTTAGAAGGACCTGTAGAAACACACACAATCACAAAAAAACAATTACAATAAAACTAGTGATTGAAGTCAATATAGAATACATACATGTTTGATCATTAAACTATTAAATCATTAGCTTTCGATATCAAACTATGTTGGCTAAGAAGATTTACTTAATTCTTAAACCCTATGTAATTTGACACCACAGCTCACACTAATGATGAAAATCTGCAACATATTCTAGACAACATGAAATATCATTCACAAACCAGTTTACTTCTGTAATGTGATGAATAGCAAAATGAAACCGGATATTCAAGAAAAAGAAAAGTAGTACATGACTTGACTTGATCCTTTGGCAATTGGATGGATCATGCAAACTGGTCTATAGGCCCTGTTTATATACTTGATATTAAGATGCATTTAGGTCAATCGGATCACAAGTAGACGAGGGATACACACACCCATTTACACTTGGTGTTTTAATCTGTCTCTTTTGTCCACTTTCAATCACTTTACATTTGGAAGTGGTCTAAAGTGGACAAGCTCAAACTGTTTTAGACCCCGTTTACACCTGTATTTAGCGTTGTCCACTTGTGATCAGAGTGACGAAAATGCTTCTTAATGCCAGGCATAAACAGGGCTTATATGACAGAAGCTGAGGGTGTGTTCGCACTTGTAGTTCAATTTGCTTGGTGCGGACCAAAAAAAACATATTTAGTCCTGGTCTTAACATTGGCATTTTAACACAGAACCTAAAGACGCTGAAAATAAAGGCACAAGGATACGTTTACAACCTGATTGGTCAGCTTTTATTATGTACATTTCGCGACAGAACTTATCAAACATCCAAAACAATGCTGTGTTTTGGGCTAAATGCACTCGTTGTGTGTGCGTAGCCTTCATATGATGGTATTTTGCCCAGCTGAGAACTCGTGAAGAGCTTATAAAATGTGTAAAGGAGTCAAAACAGTGGCAGGAATCCCTCCATTACACACACAAATTCAAATGAACTGCACTAACAGAGCAATCGCACCAGGGTTTGCTTTAATCGAACTAAACATACCAAGAGTGAACACAGCCTGAAAAGTAAGAGCACTCTGTGACATCAATAAAAAATAAAAAAGTAGTTTCAGAGGCTTTTATTTCTTTGGAATAATGAGAACTAATTAATTATTCACGAGCATTAAAAAAGGGCATTAAAATCCATTTTGATTTAATTTTCAGGGCTCAACAATTACAGATTTTTAGATTTTTTACAGATGACCAAACAAAAAAGTATTACAATTTAAGATATTTAACACAATATTATTTCTAGCAAATATAAAAATACATTTCTAAAAATAAAACAAAACCTGATCAATTTTAATTTTTGCAATGCACTTTTATATTTGCTATAAATATATCTTTTTTTCATTAAATGTTATGTTTTCTTAAGTTTTCAGTTCTCTTCACAAACATATGTCTTTACAAAAAGATTATAAAACAGGCTGCAAATTACACAGCTAATGTAACTCCATAAATTCATTTTGAAGGAAAACGATAGCAAACACTGCAAAATATTACTAATTGGTTTGTAGTTTTTTTTTAAACATTCCTTTTCTGATGCTCCCAAAACTGTCACCAGTCATTCTTGCATTGTCTGCAGATTTTGAATTTGCAACAATCACAAAATACATCAGATTATGTCAGCAAGGCATATAAAGTTTTTCAGTGACAAGCAACAAAGCAGTGGTTTCAAATGGCCTAGAATGATCTCACACTGACAGTAATGCTTACTGTTGAGTCCTGATGTTGACTTTAAGAAAGCCGCAATTGAAAATAAAGATTTACCTATTCAAATGCAATTTTGAACTGTATGGTAAGGTAAATGGAAATATCTGATATTTGACTCTAGTCTAGTGGTGTATCTATATCAAAGAAATTAAATGGGCATTGTTGAAAAAAACATATGCATTACCATAGCATGTTGACATGCAAAGCGTATCATTGGGCTCCTTTGTAATTTGGCCGCAGCCCCTGCTTTTGTAGAATGAAGACTCTCATGATAAACCCCCCCCCCCCCCCCCCCCCCCCCCCCCCCCCCAAACCCCAAACCCCAACCATGGATACCCTCCGCAGGGTCTGGAAGGTGTGGCTTCTTCTAACCACATCCATTGGCTAAAATGAAAGGCAAGGACACCCTCCCCATGGCTACCGTCACCGCAGTATGAAAAGCAGCGCTAAGGAGCAGCTCAACGACAGAAGCGTCATCACCCAAACCAGCCATTGGCAGCAGTCATAACAAGTCATCCACACTCCAAACATCAAACTGTCTGATGTGTACATGCCCACACAGGCCTGAGGACTGCTACGAAAGATTCATTTCAAAGACCAGACATCAAAAACTTCCTTAAATTATACGATTCCACTCAACAAAGACAAAACATTCTGTCTAAAACAATGGCTTGTTGTTCCCTTTAGTCTACTTAGAACAATTCTGCAGACTTGCACACTTCCTTCCACAGAGGATTTGGTTTTAAAAACAGCCCCTTAACTTAAACGACTTCTATGGATGAGTTTATCTAAATTGCTATCTGAACTTCAGCAAGAAAATAAATAAGTTAGACATACAAATAAGACTGAAATCCAGCTTTTACTATTAGTCATGTTTTTAGATCAGGGTTGCTGGTTTCTAGCTGATGGTCATAATTTGGTGCAAGCCGGTAGACCATCTTGGAACAGCAAGAAAACAGTTTAAGCTGGTTTTTGAAACATGATGTCTGGTAAACCAGCTAATGGCCAGCAAGAAACCAACTACACCATCTAAAGCTGGATTTTCCAACAGGGCATGGTTTGGATTTAACAACTGGGTAATTCGTGCCACGTTTCTGAAGGGGCGTTTAACCACAATTAGGGAATTGAAATTCATGGGTGCAAAAAAAAAAAAAATTAAGGGACTAAGTTTATTATGACTTCCTCCTTCCGTTCAAAATGGTGTTTACCCTTGTTTTTATAAACCTCGTCACTGCGTACCAAGCCATCGAGTCAGATTTGCATTGTACACATAAGCGCTTCAATAACATAGGTTATTGTACAATATATGAAAGGCATTTAGTTATTTTCTACTCAATAAAAACAGTTTTAGCCTTACCAACTGCTCGCCCTTTCTGCTCACGCCTGAGCGTTTCAGACTGATCGCCACATTCAGAGCTCTGACTGGGGGTGTGTTGCTTTGTTCCATCGTTCGCGTCTGTTTTTCTTTTAGACGCATTGCTTTTCCCGTTCCCTCTGTATTCTAGCTCCCGAGACTGAAGGGTTGCCCTTAAACGCTGATTTTCCTGCTCTTTGGTGGCTGTTTCCAATAGCATTGAATTCAAAGTGGCCCCAACAGTCTTGGTGATTTCCTGAACGGCGAGCTGCACAACCTGCTCCAGTGCGGACTCCAGCTGACCTTGGAAAAACGAAATGTAGAGGGACCCGTTCATGTTTACAACCGCTCCGTTGAAAGACCTTTGTCATTCTTCCTCTTCCCACCCCCCAAAATAGTGTTAAATATACAGAAGTCTCCCAGAACAACTGCCTAAAAAACCAACAGTTACCCCTTTCTCGAGAAACACATCGTGGGCATGTATACACCCCTTAGTAGGTTGTACCGTAATCTACACCGTGAAGACGCACAGGGAGTTAAAGTAGTCCACAAGCACATTAGAGGATCTTCCCTCAGACGACCACTTCGCCATTTTGCCCCCAATTTGAAAACGTCCTGCGCACATCACCCAGAAACAAGCCATGGCAAAACGCCGTTTCAACATTCAATAAAAGTAGTTTGATAAAGCCGTAAGTGGGTTTGTGCATCCGACGTTTTGTAGTTTTGGACTGAGGTCGAGGGGTGAGCATAAATGACCCGATCAATTTAAAACTCTTTAACGTTTAGTAGATTGTAGGTACTCGGTTATTGCCTATTATATCCAGTTATGCACTACTTTTGTCGCGCATGCTATTTCGATTTTCCAGCATATTGACTGCGCTCCTCTACTTTGATTACGGTAAACAGACGCTGCATGATCTAAGAGGAAAGCTGGGCGAGTATCATGGTAGATTACAGATTCAAACGCATGTTGTGGTGCATGGTGCGTTGAAATTGAGCTGCCTGCCAGCGTACTTTTCAAGATAAATAGTGTTTTTGTTTTTTTTGTTTTTATTGCATAAGAAACATGATTTTGAGAAAATAAATCCATGGTTATTATGATGTAATTATTTAGTATTATGACCACGCCCACAAACATTTGAGATAATAGAAAAGTTCATGATGTCTTCTTTAAGGTGCAGTATGATGCTGGACTTACAGTGGACAAAAGCATATGACTGAATCTGCAAAATGTTCAGTTAGGCTACTGGAGCCATTGTAAAAGTCACTCATTCATTACTTCCACAAGCAAAATATGTCTGCTCTCTTGAGGCGACCCGCTTCATGTTAAACTAAAACAAACAAACGTTTATGACTGCAGTCTTCATCTCCTGTAAATGTTCATCATTTTCAAGTGTTGTTTTGTGTAAAACCTTTTAAATGAGTTTTTGAAGATGTAAACGGCAGGAAAAGAGCTGCCTTGTCGTGCATGCGATCTGTGGCCAGAAATATACCACAGCCCCGGTTCCTGTTCCTACTAACTGCAGAGTGCAGAGGAAGAAGACTGCGGGACTCACACCAACAGTGTTACTAAACTGTCTGGTCTTATAATTGGGCAAAGCGAGACATAAAGATAATTTTAGGTCTTCTTTCTGAAATAATGTACAGCTTCTGTACACAGGATCATAATCATTATTCAATTATCAATTGTAACCTATACATAGGCCTATTGTTCATATGTTTTCCAGATGAGTTTATCTAGAGTGAGCTTTTGAGAAAACTGATCCTCCATTGGGGACACAATTTTCGAAATTCACTGTTTTGCAATTTTAAACAGTTTGCTTTTCCACTTTTCTTTTTTTTTGGTTAGCAGGTTAAGTCCCATTCATGCAGTATTGAACCATTAAACTTTAATTTAAGGATTAAAGTCAGATGTTTATCACAACCGTTCTTGAAAAGTCTTTAGTTTAGTAGTACAAGTGACAGCACAAAACAGTTATTTATGAGTACAAACATATTCATATCCTATTTTAACACGACAGCTGTAGGCTATAACATTAGAAATAATGCCGTTTGAAAGCTACGACTACGTTTGAAAATACATTTCAACCCATCATTTTTATACATTTCAACAATTTTTTTTTTTTTTTTGGTCATTTTCTACTAGGAAAGTTTCTGAGGCATTTGAAGCAGTTAACAAAGCCTCAAAGGCATTCAATGATTCAATAGAATATTTATATAAATCATTTAAAATTGACAAATGAAGGATGGACCTATGTAGTAATTTATGAAATAATATTCTTGTTGTGGAAGTTTTGTGATGTCATTGCCTATAGTGCATGCAGATAAACCATGTAAGGAACAGGGCTTGTTACTATTGATGTGAATAGAGTTCAGTGATCAGCAGAAATGTACTCTATCATACCATGTGGGGGCCACATTTTACCATGATAATATATATATATTTCACTCTATTTAAACAAAACTCTGTTTCAAAGTCTGCAGCATGTTTCTTGTAAAGTATATGGCCTAATACAGCTAATTAATATGCTCTAAAAACAGCAGTTTTCAAACACCAGGGGGTGCAGTATGATAACTGTATCAAATAAAACACTGTTTTTAACTTGCTTAAAATCATCCATTTTGGCATGAGGCCTACAGTACCAGTAATTGCATTCAACATTTTCAGTGGAGAACAACAGAACAAAACAATGCCTTGTGTAATTAAAAGTAACCTGATTAGGGATTATATAAACAAGTTTACATTTTAAGACGTAAAAACAGCTGCTAGAGGTCAAGACTTCCAGTAAGCACAAGGTGACAATCGCTAGGTCAGCCTCTCATAGACCTTTAAATCGTTTATTTCATTATTGCAGTGCAACGTAGTGCAGTTTTATGCCAGTTGGGTGGTTTGGTCTGCTACCACACTGAGACCAGTTTGAGGATGAATCAAGTTGATATTTTACCTTGATGCTCCAAATAGGACAGTATATTCAGTTCTTACAGCCGTGCACTGAAATGACAAGAACATCCCAGAAAAACAAATTCAGAGCACTTCTCATGAATTAAACATGCAGAATGTCAAATAAACTTTTTTTCAGTAGAGGTGATACCTTGCTTTTTAAGTTTGAATAGCTATGTTATATGTGTAGATGTTTGCCTGAACAACCACTGGCTCTGCACCCCTATATCTAAACTCACTACTTCAGACATATGTGTCCTGGAGAAGCTTGCAGTGTGCAAGTGAACAGCACCTTGTGGTGCCATCTAAAAGAGGCACAAAATCACTTTCACGGACCTTTACCTTGACTGTTCCATGCTGGTGGAATGACCTGTCTTACTCAACCCGAGCTGCTGAGTCTTTAGCCATTTTCAAGAAACGGCTGAAGACGCATATTTTTCATCAACACTTGACCCATTAATATTAACACTATACCTATTTATATATATAAAAATAATAATCTTTTACTGGGAGTCACATGCAGCACTTGCATTTTGTTGCCCTAAATGTATTGTAGATGATTTTGAAACCTCCCGATAATATGAGCAGTGGAAAATTATAAGTGATCTAGGGGCTTTTTACTGCAGATGCCATTGGAAACACGGTAAGTCTATCCCTCACAGCCTCACTTTCATACCTGTCATGGCTGCTCTGAATACGGTGTATTGCAGTGGTGAATTAATGACAGGTGATGAGGTGGAATACTGTGCTGCGGGTATGACGTCAGAACCCGGAAGCCTAATTTGCCGCTGGTTCCTTCGAGATTTTCTTATTGGGTGTTAAAAATGGGTTTTTCAGTTTATGAGTAAAATAAAACCTGTGGTAAACACAACTTTACGATACTTTCACGTTTTATTCTACAATGTACACTGCACACACTCACACCCCAAGCTGTCCTATCTAGTTACTTATTAGAAACATACATTTGCAAAAATGAATACAACAGCTTCAAAATGAGTATTTTCACTATGGGTGTGTGTAATTTACATTCTAGAACAAAACAAAGTATGTTTACACAGGCTTTATTTTACACCTAAATCAAGGAAAATCTAGAAGGAACCAGCTGAAAATTAGTCTTCTGGGTAGTAATTACTCCACAACCGCTAAAAAAGTACATTCTATATAGTTTGAATCTGAATAACCTGGACGTAGGCATGTTGCCCTTATCACATGACCTACAGTGTCACCGCTATTCACAAATCCTCTCCCGTGGCCTCATGGGATAGTAAAGTATCAATATGCACACTTCAGAATCTCCTTGGAAATACTCTTTTTTGAGTACTGTGAATTCGGACATACACAGTCACATACTGTTTTTCGCCAATTATATAGTAGGTAAATATGCAATTTTAGATGCAGCCCAGCACTTCATCCGTGCGCAAAATTACCAGTTGTACTATGGTGAAAATGCAGCGAATGAATATTAATATGGCTACCTTGCTTCGTAACATAATGCAGGCATTCATGCCACCTATTTAATATTCATAACCCCAAACCTTCCCCATAGTAGAATTCGTAAATTCACAAGCAGTAGCTACGGCTCCTTCTCAGCCAGTCATTTAGGGATAGTGATCTAACGTATCGTTACGTTATTATTAAAATTCATGAGCCAAGTCATGGATAGAAGAATACCACTGAGGCTGAGAAACCATCACATCTTATCATATTATCATGATAATGACCAGTCCAACTCATATACTGAATATAGGGCCTACACAACTGTTTGAGTTTTGTTAATGCAATTTCAACCATTGATTGTGTTTTGTTATACATTCCATATAACATCAAAAATGTCCTGTCATGGTCATGGATTCATATTATATGTCTGTTTTCTACCAATGTTCTATGTGATTTATTTTCTAAGATTAAAAATATCCAGTAATTTAAAATAGAATTTCTATTGTTCCGTGTGAGGGCGAAACTTCTCCCATTGCATCCGCTGGTCGGAGAAAGTGGCAGTTCGAATTGACGACAATATGGACTTTTAAGGTAATCCGCTAACTAGATCTTTTTATCGTTGCTGTTTTATTCGATTTAAATATCTAAATGTTAGTTAGAAGAAGTAAAAAAAAACAAAAAAACTTTTAGGCTATCAATCTATACGATGGACATCGGTTATGCCCATCTTTGCTCGTTCCTTTGAATGTATCTTGAGTAAAACGGCTCTATATTTAACAAAGCACATATAAATGACCCGAACCAGAAGTGATGCGACCTGTTAAAGAATAAGGAAGTTTGTTGCGCATAACCCCAATTCGGCGAGTTGACCATCAGAAAGCTGCTTGGTTTAAAAGTGACTTCTGTGGCTATATGCAAACTATGCTTCAGGCATTGCAACACTACTGACAATGTGCTTTTTTGCATGCAAAATCTCACCAAAATGTCGCTAATGTGACCACACCTTTAACATTTTACTTTAGGGATTTGACAGCTTAAGAACAAGAATAATGCATTGTAGACTATGT